CGTCACGCGTACGAGCGGTCGCTGCGTTAAGCACAGGCTCTATATACACTGCATGGAAAAGCCACGTTCGTTCTTGCAGGATAACGCTGGCGGCAGCGCTCGCTCAGTCAGCGGCACTGAATCTCTCCGTTCTGCACTTTTGATGTGGAGGATTGTGGTGAATTTACAGTTGCTGTTAATTCTTGTGAAAATGTACTTGTATAAATCTGGGCAGATTTGGTTTGGCCAGTCTCAAAAAATTAACTGGAATGCAAAGAGGAAAAAGGTGCTCCTATGAATTTGTTGCTTTTAAGGAAGCACATCACTAATTCATGTCTGGCTTATTTGTCTACAGTACGCTAGGGCTACCTAAAGGATTGGGGCTGTGAGCAGAATATCAAACTTAATCTCAACGGATTATCAGCTAGAACCCGTTCTGCTCCTGTTCCCTTGCGCACATGAATGAGTTGGGTATTCGGGCTTTAACTTAAAATGGGAGTTAGGAAAGTTTGAGGGCGTTGCAGTTCACTTTGATTATAATCAATTGATGAAATGGTGTCCTAGAAGGGTTTTAGAAACACTTTCCCTCTCTCCTTCATCTTAAACTTTTAAGATGTTGCCATCTGATTGCAAACTGGCTTGGCGAAATTTTGAAGTATGAAGCACAAAAGCCTTTTTCACAGATGAAAAGAAAAAGTGAAGAATCTGAGTATCTCCTCTTAATAATTCAACTGATTTCCAAGGCTGCACCCTGCACTTAACCCAAGGTAAGGATCTCTTTTTGCTGTATAACGTTCCATTATTTACAGTCTTTAATTATTAGAGAAAAGATAAAACTGAAAATTCCTCTGGCCAGGGAATCTTCTTCCCTGGAAACACTGGGGACCTGCAGGGAGTCCTCTCGGAGCCCTTGCCCAGGCCCCCGGGACTTTACTGCCCAGTCTCGCCTTCGCCCTCGGAAACAGCGAATGCTTTTTAGGCTGTTCTTCCCTGAAAGTGGGAGGCGATGCTTTTTGCCACAATGAATGGTGACTTTTACTGGCCTGGCAATGTCCCGTCGGGACACGACAAGGCCCTTTCCCCCACCGGTTGCTTGATGCCGGGTGGTTGCGGCAGTGCTGGCTGCCGTTTCCCACCCTGGCTCTCATCACGTTCTGACTTCCTCCTGCCTCTGATGTTCTCTGCAGCGGTAAGGAGGGGCATATGTCTCCAGGGTAAAGCAGCGACATATTCTTTTAGGTTATTTTCTTACCTTATCTACCACTGCATCTTGGCACCTCGGTCTCA